AGGCGGTGTGCGGCGAGGAATAGAATGGCGGTGCGGGGCGAAGAGTAGGGAGGCGAGGCGCGCCGCTGCCCGTCCGCCGCTTACGCGACCGCTCGCACGTCTCCCCGCGCGGGGCCGCTAGGCCGACGCATCTCACCGCGCGCTAACATTCGCCAGTAGGTTGGGCTAATACGGCGATTTTTAAAATTTCGTATCTCGATAACTATTCGTCCAAGCGCAAAATAGTACAGGACTTTTCTGTTTGTCTTAGTCCCCTCTGCCTTCCCATGACCGGAAGTCAATATGTTGCGTAGCACCCTGTATATACAAGGCGATTAATCTTAAAGTTTTACCCCAACTTAGAGAGGGTATTAATGAGGTCATTTGAAGCAAAAATGTTAATATATAAATGGGATCTGATTTATTTGTAACTATTTATAATTTTATAAATAGTTACAAATGTAGTACAAATATTTTGAAATCATTAATTATTTAAATAAGACAAATTCTAGACCTAGAATTTTTTTAATTTCTTAATTTTGTATTATACAACAAAAAATAGGAAAAAAAGTCGAAATTGATCACAAGTTTATAAGGAAATTTCACGGGAAACAGCCCCGAGAATATATTTCTTAAACGGAGGTAAAACTTGGTGAATCACCTTAATGTATTTTTTATTATACATTTTAATTAAAAAGTTTGTTGAGTACACAATGATTATTGTGTCGTAGGCGCAAACAATTATTTCAAGTTACTAGTAGACTGTGATTACAACTCGTGGCATCACGACGCTTCGTTTCAATATTGCTTATCTTTGGAAACACCTTTTTTTCTCAACGATGCCTAATTTTTTCATTCTCTTTTATATCAAATGCGTGTGTATCTCGCGATTACTGCAAATATTACGAACAACATGCATATGGACACAAATTGTAACAAATAATTTATATCCACATATCTTGTTATATTTTAATAACGTTCATAAAGGCATTACCTCTATTATCCTTGTTTGCGGGTGAATCAAATACACATTCACATACGTAAACGCAATTGCAGGAAATCAAAATTGTAATTCCGATTAATTAGTAAAACTAATTTATCAAAAACATGTATAATTGAAGATAGCTGCAACGCTTGCGGTATGAAAGCGATAAATAGTTAATAAATTAATTAGTACTTGAGGAAGCAAGTGAACGAAATGGAGATTTACATTTTTATATTTATATTGTACGAGCGCTATATATCCCGAAAAATAAATTGTCATTTCTCATTATCATTTCAAATTATCATTTGTATCATCATTTTATTAGTGGCACTGTATCGATTTGTAATCGCAATAGTATCTATACGCAATGTCCGTTGCGCCAATCGAACTGTCAATCAAACATTAAAAATGTTGAACGAAAAAATATCCTTCTTTCTTCATCTAATTACTTTTCAGTTAAATCGGTGCACACCTTGAAAAAATGACAATATACGTACATATAATCAACTGAATATCACCAATATATCTTAAAATCTTAAGGACAGCTCTTAATTAGATGTTATTTAAGTAAAAATTCTGACACTTTGCCAGTCTAAATAATTCACAAACTTTAGAACTACGGACTTGGCACTAGGACGTTGAAACAGAAAAGGTTCTCAATTAAATCAACTCATGTCAGTTTGATCCTCGCAAGGTGCACGTTTTTTCTACCTGTAATCTTCTTCTTTTTACGTCTCGTAGCTCTAACGTGTGAAACTAAAAGGAACGTCCAATAAACAAATATTGATTTCAGTTGTAAATTAATCAGAAGTAGCAAATGTTTTATTGTATTATAGATCTTGTCGTACAGTTTTCTACCTTTATAATTTGATACGTAAGCGATTGCTTCGCTCGTAAATTTCATCTGATAATTCCACTGCAACATTTTGTCGCTAGAAACGCATCATGTTCTTCCACAGAAAGTACAAAGTGTCCCGAGAAATACAATAATTTATATACATTGCATGAGTGGTGCGGCATTAAGAAATCGTTATGGGGACATTTTGGCACTTTGGATATCTTCCGAAATTCACTGCCAATAGTGCGAGTTTTATCCTGTTTCTCCCCATTGCGCTAAATATATCTATTTAAATCAGTTATACATGTACGTTTTATTGTAGATATTAAAGTCACCTTAATACTAAACCGACAGACCTAATTAAAGCGTCCCGTTCATCCGCGGGAGAACTAATAGAACGTTTTTAAACCGATTTGACATTCTGCTCCTGACATATAAGTCGATTGCCCGTAAACTCACACAATTTACGATTAATTCACATTAATCGTAAGTCACGATTGAATAAATTAGCGATACGTTTACGTTATGCTTTCCTAGCTTTAAAGAATTTCGGGGTATGCTCATTTTCTTCACGCGTATGCCGTTGCGTGCAAGAGTAGAATGATACGCGATAATAATTTCACGTTAGGGAATATATGGAAAGAGATCGTTGCGAAATAATCAATAACGAAGAAGAGCGCTTCTGTGTCTCGGCTATCTAGAATGTAATATGTTTTGGCGTCATTATAATCAGTATAGTAGGGTAATTGAATGATTACTGTGCTTCGTCAATAAAGAAATCAACTTGTATCAAAATATTTCTCCGAATGCCGGATTCTTCGACCGATGCGATGATGTAACAGTGTAAACGATACTCCGCTTAATAAAACTTAAGTTCAAAGATCAGCTTAACTGATCGAGAAGGAAACGATACGTCGCAGCTCTAGTAAATTTCTCTCTGTATGATACGTAGGCTATATTTAAATATGTATATGATAAGTGCTGGGCACAAGTAGCGGTGCGCTTATTGTACAGAGATAACAGACTTTGTAGAAAGAAGAAAAAAACAACTATCTTATTAAGCGGGCGCCATGTAGCGTGTATACAAATATGCATATAAACATAGCGTGATAATGGGTAGGCAGTAAAGGCTGCTTAGCGCTAAAAAGGGGAGGGAGACCGGTAGATGGTGCAATATCTAGCGAATAAATATAATTAGCCCTAGGCAATAGCATGATTAAAGCAAGTGCAGGTAATAAAAATAGCCGCGTGAAGCCTACGTGAGACCATATATAAAGCGTACTGTCTAGATCAGTGATCGTGGAGAAAGTATACATTTGGGCGTTATATTTCCCTCTCGACACGGTCGTGCTTTTAGATTACTGTAGATCTGCGAAACGGACGATCGTCAAAATTGTGCGCGACGGGCTGGAAAATGTATGATTAATGTACATTTCATGCACGATCAATTTAATTCAATCAGAAAGTGACAAATTTAAATAGCGATTTCTTCATCTGTAAACAATTCATATGATGGAAATAAGTTCTGTTGTGTGATTTGCTGTTAT